AAATTGACTGTACAAATGTGTTTTCACAGTCTTGACATTTTAACATCTGAGGAAGAACAAGGAAAATAAGATTTTGCATAGTGAAAATTTATGGAAATATAACAGTTGCAGTTCAAACACCGCAATTTCTATAACTGGCAATTTAATTACAATAAGATTATGCCAACACCTTTCATAGCTTTGTGACTATGGAAAAACAAATCATGCCAAATGTATGGAGACACTTTAAATATAAATACAAATAGTCACAGGAAAACTAAGATGCATCAGTCTTTATACTTTACAGTTTACTGTCCAATTTAACATTAGCATGATCCACCACGGATGCACTCTATACCATACAACTTTTTCAGTTTTTAGTCTCATATTTTCTAACTATAAATAACAGAAAGAAAAATGCTTAAGAAATTATCTGTGAATTGAATTATTTTTTTCCTATGAATTTTCCCGATCTACACAGGATTCTTTTAGCAAAACAAGCACTTCTCTTTCTATTGTGTTTGGTGATACAGAAGACTTTTATTATTTGTGTATTTATGGTATCTGTGACAAGAAAGGCTACATATACCATCTTTTCCTTTGAAAGTGTCATGCTTCCAGTGAGCTATAATCTGTGATTTTCCCATTGCAATTGTGTTTGCGTTGCCACAATCTTATGAAAAGAAGCATAATAGGTTCTTAATGGGTTTAAATGCTGTAATGTTCTACAGTGAACCACTATCACATATCTTCCTTTCTATTCATACTCTCTAATCTCCCAGAAATTAAAATATTGAAAATAGTAGCTTAATAAGTAATCCTGTCTCCTGGGTTTTTGTTTGTTAAGTTTTTGTTTGTTTGTTTATTTGTTATTGTTTTTTCAAAAAAGGTTTCTGTGTAGGCCAGACAGTGGTGGTACGTGGTTGAACTCCAGCAATTGGGAGGTAGAGCCAGGCAGATCTCTGTGAGTTTGATGCCAGCCTGGTCTACAGAGTGATTGCCATATACAGAGAAACCCTGTCTCAAAAAAAAAAAAAAAAAGCAGTCCTTGCTCTCCTGGAACTTGCTGTGTAGAACAAAAGACTGACATGGAACTCACAACAATCTACCTGCTTTTGCCTCTGGAGTGCTGGGATGAAAGGTGTTTGTTAATATTACCAGCTATGAACTGGTTAATTTTATTGTCATATTACATAACCAATAATCACCTGAAAAGAGAAAATCTCAGTTGAGTGTTGCCTGAATTGGTTTGGCAAGTGCCATGTCGAAAAGTACTTGTCTTGATCAATGATTATATGGCATAGTTCAGCCCAATATTGGAGGTAGCACTCTCAGCACTAAGGGAGTGGACTGTATTTAAAAAGCAAACAGAGAACAAAACTGAGAGATTCAGAGAGTGAACCAGTAAGTGGTGTTCATCCAAGGCCTCTGCTTCAGTTCTCAGCTAAATGTTTTGCCCTGAGCTCCTGTCATAATTCTTTTTCAGGGACAAACTATTACCAGGAAATGTTAGCTGAAATTATTCATACCCTCACTCCTGGTAGCTTATGGCTTATCACAGAAAGAGAAAAGCAAACGACAATACCCTACTAAACATTCTAAACAGTCACATGAACCCATCCTTTGCCAATTGAAAATGGATACCAGGAATAGTGAGGATGTTATGTCACAAGTTGAGACAGGTTGAAAAGGTGGGGTCTTGAGTCAATCAAGCTGTCAGTATAAAGAAAAAAAGATTAAGTTTTCCTCCTGTGACGTTCACCTGATACAAAAGCAAAAGCACTTATTATCTTCTACTTGGAAAGGGTTTAATCCTCTGGATTTTAGGATATGAATATGAATCATTATTGAATCATTATGAAAGACCTCGGCATCAAAGCGCCGGGCACTGAACCGAACCCTCTGCCCAAGAACTGGAGCCAGACCACTGGCTGCAAATGCAAGAGGTGATTTATTGAGTACACAGGCTCCTGCGGATGACACTGCAACTCGGGTGCAGAACATACCAGGTTTGCAGGGAGTACAATATTTATAGAGTTTTAATGGTTACATAAGTAACAGGCATTTCATTGGCTCATCTTGGGGTCAGGGGTAGTTCCCACGGACTAAGTTTCCTGGTATTACTTCATGAAAGACCCCGGCATGTTTCAGCAATTATTATCCTGGTCCCATGACTACTATGGTGATCATAGACACAACTGGGGACAGGGGTAGTTGGCAAGGACTAGGCGTCCTGGTATTGCCACATAAAAGACCCTGGCACGCTTCAGCAATTATTATCCGGGTCCCATGACTGCTCTGGTGACCACAGATCCTGTTTGACATCCTGCCAGCTGGGTGAGGCACCTGGTCTGGGTTTCTTTCATTAGGCAATGGCCTGGCCTTGCTTTTCTTTTCCTAGGGGGTCCTGGGTAGGGGTATTTCAATTAATGTTAAAGTTATAAAGAATAGTGAAGTCTTTCTTGCCACAAAATTCCCTTAATCCAAAATGTAATGTGGAACACAGCTCTTGTGTCTCATCTGAATCAGATATGAGAGGAGAAAAGAACTGAATCTAACAAAATTTACTTAGTCAAATTTAATGAGAAAAGTCATCCCAATAAGAGAAATCTGAAAGACAAATCCAACACCAACTTAAAAGCAACAACAAAGTAGACCATGTATCTATCTATGATCCCTGTTGGCTACACTAAACCAAACAGTTTTACATCAAAAGAAAATTCTACATAGAACTTTCACTAACACACCCAAGCTAATGTCTCAGATCAAAAGAAGTACTTATCATAAGATAATGTAACTTGTATGTTTAAGTGGAAATCAAACTGATTCATCATTCAAAAATGGCAGATTCTTTAACTCTTATTCCAAAGCTTGTATGCTACAACATGTATTTACAGCATGGATTTCTGAGTATTTTAAACTCACTACTGAGGCATAACTGCTCATTACAATAAAGATTCCTTCCAAAATATGAATGTTCACTGACAGTGTACCTCCCAGAAACTGTGATGGAGATTACTATGAAACTAGTGCTATTTTCATGTGTATCTGTACAATAACCATTCTTCAGAGCATGTATTACAAGTTGATTTTAATATAATGTACTATTACTTACAGAGTACTGTTTTGTATTTTGACTAAAACACAATAAAGTTACACTAATGCTAAACTTTATGACTAATGTTATCAATAATAGCCGGGCATTAGTGGCGCACACCTTTAATCCCAGCACTCGGGAGGCAGAGGCAGGCGTTTCTCTGTAAGTTCGAGACCAGCTTGGACTACCAAGCGAGTTCCAGGACAGCCTCCAAAGCCACAGAGAAACCCTGTCTCGAAAAAAAAAAAAACAAAAAAAATGTTATCAATACAGTGAGTGATTCCTCTCATGGATCAAGACTATGGAAAAATCTGATCTTCCAGCAAACTATTCACCGTTCACTAAGGTATTAAAATATTAATGATTCATTAGACAAGTGTATGGACACTAGTTTCAGTTTTGGAGATCTTGATTCTCACGTTTATTAATAACATATTGGAAGCCAGGATTTCAGTGTAGGAAACAACTGCACATGCTGAACCATCAGAGAGGGAACTAGAGTTGGACACAGAATCTGCGGATACAGGTGGACAATTGCCATTGCACAGTCAAGCTTTAACATAAGAGCAGTGCCTTCTAATGCATAAGCAGAATGATGCTTAGAATATGCACTGAATTCCTCATGAATACACTAGGCCCTTTGTTTGAATGATACCAGAAGATTTTCCAACATAGTATTTTTTCTTTGTCTATTTCATGCAATGCACCTTCATCAAACAGTGAAGTACTTTGAAAGAATCAAATTTTAAAAATTACACATAAATCAAACCCCACAATTATATGGATAAAACAGGATACCATGCCCACAGAGAAAACATTTGTAAAATACTGAATAAATATAACAAAATTTATTCTCATTCACTGTATTTTGCATTCACTCCAACTTACAGTTCATTAGCCAGGCTCTCTTAAATGAGGAAAGACATTGCATCAGCAAAAATACTGTGATAGTTTGAAGCTTTTTAGTGATGAGTAACTTAAACTATGGTATATCCTCATTTAGACAGAGTGTTATTTTAAATAAACACAGTACATACTTTATTTTAATTCTCTGGAAAAACAAAAAGTTACAAAACATACATTGCTTCAACTATTAACTTAGTAGATTAAGATTGTATATTAGTGTTAGGTTATATGGTGTTTAAAATAAATTGTCAACATTTTTATTAGAGTTGAGAGACATCTAGGAGATTAGTCAAGCTTACTTCTCTATCTGTGAGGGTCTTTCCTGAGACCAACAAATTATTGAGCCACTAATCAAATCAATGTTAAGCCACTGATAGAACAAAATCTTGGATACAATAATGGAATACATTTGGACCTATGGAATCCTTAACCTATTTGGAAGAAGGGTCGAGATTCTGTGAAATTGTCTTAAGATTCTGTGAAATTGTCACTCACAAGGAGAAGGCACAGCATCCCAGTGTCTCAGAATGTTTATGATATACAGTTGATCATAGAAATGGTATTATTGCTTATAGACAAACATGGATGTGTGGATTATAATACACAGTTAAAAAAGGAGTCAGGTTTAGTTAATTTCAGTCAGAACAGTCTAAGTAGGGGAGCAGGTTTCACCTAATTAAAAACAGGAGAAGAAAGCTACCGTGCACATTGTTTACACACATTTGAGTATTCACACTGAGACCAGAAACTCTGAGCCTCAACCAGGAAAGGTGTTGCCAACCCCATAAGTCTGGGGCATTCTCCTTGAGATGACCATACCTCTGTCAAAAATGTCTTCATTAAAGATTTACAACGACGAGAGGCAGAAGTGCTGCGGGCCACCTTCTCTGTCCAGGCTGAGGCCCCTGCGGATTACATAACCCGTCGCTGGGGGCTCCTGCAGTTCCTGGTCCGGCTTCCGGGCTCCCCCAGGATGCACTGAGCCCCGTGACGCTGTCCTGTCCGCTGCCGCCGGCTCCCATCCGAGGTGTGAATGACAGAGGTGGTGCCTTCTAGAGCTCTCAGCGAGGTCAGCCTGTGCCTCCTCTGCCACGATTACATAGACACTGTGAAGCACCTGTGTGGCGATTGGTTCCCCATTGAGTACCCAGACTCATGGTATAGTGATATCACATCCAACAAGATGTGATATCTTGCTGCAACCTACAGAGGTGCTATCATGGGAATGATAGTAGCTGAAATAAAGAATAGGACCAAAATACATAAAGAGGATAGAGATATTCTAGCCTCCAGCTTCCCTGTGGACACGCAAGTTGCATACATTCTAAGTCTGGGAGTAGTGAAAGAATTCAGAAAACACGGCATAGGTTCCCTTTTATTAGAAAGTTTAAAGGATCATATTTCAACCACTGCCCAGGACCACTGCAAAGCCATCTACCTACATGTCCTCACCACCAATAATACAGCAATAAACTTCCATGAAAACAGAGACTTTAAGCAGCATCACTATCTGCCCTATTACTACTCCATCCGAGGTGTCCTCAAGGATGGCTTCACCTATGTTCTCTACATCAATGGCGGCCACCCTCCCTGGACCATCTTAGACTATATCCAGCACCTGGGCTCAACACTAGCCAACCTGAGTCCCTGCTCCATCCCACACAGGATCTACTGCCAGGCCCATAATCTGCTCTGCAGCTTTCTGCCATGGTCCAGTATCTCCACCAAAGGTGGCATCGAATACAGCCGTACCATGAGATACCACTGGGGCAGCCGCCCCCAGGCCTCTGCACTTAGCACTCTGTGGAGCCTGTTTTCCTGTCTGTCTGACTTCTCCTGTGCTTTGCAAGGAGCTGGTGGCCACCTGCCAGCCCATCGGCCTGCCCCCACTGTAGGCCCGGTGCTATGCTGGCTCAGGAGCAGAGTGTATGCCTGGTCTTCAACAGGCCCTCCTTCCTGCTTCTGGAAACTTCTTCCACCCGGAGCCCTTGTCCTGCCTCCATGCACTGGCACCATCCAATGGCCTGGCAGGTATTGGCTATATTCACTGGAAAAGGGCTTGCCAGGCCTCTCCTCTGCCTCCTGCTCCTTCATCTTCCTACAAAATGGACTGAACTTTGCTGTGAAAAGAATGTGGACGCCTTTGACCCTGAAGACACAGGAACGTTAGAATAAAGAGGCACAGCAAAGCGAATGCCAGGTTTTTGTATAGGAATGTCATAAAGACACTTAGACGATGGAAGCAGTTCTCCATGAAAGGCTGGAGACTGGGACTGGCCCTTCACAAGAACTTAAAGCTTCAGGAATCAGTCCTCACCATAAACAGATGGGCAGTTAACTGTTCCTCAGGTCTCCTGCTGCCCACTTTGTAATGTCCAGAAGGATCATCCTGTCTGTTGAATCCTGGCATGCTCCATATAGCCGACCTACACTGGGAGCTGGGCCAAGTACAGGTAGCTTTTGGCTTCTGGGTTCCTTCCTTGCTCATCCTTATAGAAGCTGAAAGCTTCAAGATCTGGCCACATGCAGACAGGAGGAGGCTGAGCTTCCTTGGGTGTCTCTGCTACTGTGGACCCAAGGGACTTGGGGCAGAAGGCAGTTGGTGCCTGTGGACCTTCAGCATCCCTTCCCTTCCACCCCCAAATGTTTGCTGCCCCGCATTGCTGCAGTGTCACAGGAGCCCTAGCAGGGCTCCCTCACTGTGCCAGAATGATTAGGACCGGCTCTATTGACAGGTCGCATTACTGACTGCTTCCCTCCAGCAGCATCTCCTGGCTCGGAACCCTCAGGCCCCAGGGCCAGCCCAAGGCTGCTTGGCCTCAGAGAGGGATACTCCCAAGGCAGGAAAAGCATTCTACTTCCTCAACAGAACTGGCCAGCAGGTGGCCAGTCCTGACTGGTTTCAGTTGTGTGCTGAGGCCCCAGCCCTGTGTCCCTTTCCTTTTCAGTCAATGGTGATCATGTGATTTTCATTTCTGCCCTGTGTGGTCAAGGGAGAGCCTTCTAGGAAGTTCTGACTTGGACATACTTAAATCCAACTCAAAAGCCTTGACCTGTCTATCCCTCCCTCCTGTCCCCTAATTACTGCAGTGTCCAGCCCAGTGTTGAACAAATCGTAGTGTGTAGTCTCGTTACAAACAAATAAATAATTTCACTAGTCTCAAAAAAAAAAAGATTTACAACATCCCTAGAAGGAGCTTCAGAAATAATGAGGAAACAAAAGTACTGCAAAAGCATCTGCTATTAAAGTAACTTATGAAGAGAGTCTTCCTGTGGCTGGATTATAAGTTCTGTGAGTTAGGGATAAACTTCAGTGGATTCTGATAAATTATTAACCTATGGATTTTTAACCCCAAAAGGATGCATAATATTTAAAGTGTCCTTTCAGAATTTTCCTTCTGAAAAATTACAGTAACAGAAATAAAAATAGAAAAAGTATAGCGCTCTACTAATGAGATATTGACAAGGAGATGGAAAGAGGAGAAGGGGAGAAGGGGAGAGGAGAACTGAGATAGGGTAGAAATAGAAGAGGACAAGAAAAGAGATTCCTTGATAAAGGGAGCCAGTACAGGTTTGGAGAGAAGTCCAGCACAGGGGAAATGTTAGGAGATCCACAGGGATAACCCCAACTAAGAATATAGGCAATGGTGGAGAGGCTCTCTTTGATGCCCTTCCCCTATAATGACATTGATGACCACTTTTTTTGCCATTTCTAGAGTAGGTGATCGAAGCAGAAACAGGCACCCACAGCTAAGCACTGAGCCATACTCCTGTGATGGGGAAGTCCTGTGTATATGTCAATAACACACTGTTGGCCAATAGGGAAGCAAGATAGGTGGGACTAGGAGTCCAGGAGGACTCTGGGTAGGAGAAACACAGGGAGTCAAGATGTAGCTGCCATAGGGGTAAGAAGTTCGGAACTTTTCTCCAGTAAGAGAAATACTTAAATTAACAATTATGGGGTAAATATTTAAGTCAGAGCTAGCCAGTAAGAAACAAGCAAGGCCAACAGCTTCATAATACAGCATCTGGTGTGTTATTTGGGGACTACAACACAGCAGAACCCAGGTGAAGGGTGGGGAAAAATCATAGTGGCTGGCAAGGAAAAGGCTCCTGGAATGCAGTTTTGGAGAAGGGGGAGGAATGAACAAAGGAGCCAAGATGATGCTGAAGAAATACACAGAAACAGTAGACCTGACCTAGTGAGAGCACAGATATCCCTAGTAGTAATGCTGGGGAAACAGGATTGGACCAAACCAAGCCCTCAGAATGTGGGTGCCAGCTATGAGGCTAGGGCAGTCTGTGGGACCTCTGACAGTGGAGCTAGTGTTTATTGCTAGGTCACAAATGGACTATGGGAGCCCATGCCCTATGGAGGAATACTATTGCAGTCCAGATAACATGTAGGAGGGCCTGGACCTTCCCCCAAATGATATAATAAACTTTGATGGTTCCCCGTGGAGGGCCTCACTATCCTTGGGGGTGGGAGGGGAGTGGGTTAAGAAGGTTGGTGGGGAGCATGGGACGGTGAGGGAATGGGGGGATTGATATGTAAATAAGAGTGCTTCTAAAATAAAAAATGAAAAAAAATTGAAAAGTTTATAGACTACTCCGTCTTCTTTCAATTTATTTCTATGGATGTAAAGATGGTGTAAGTATGTTTATACTATTAGAAAGTTCTTGTGGATATGACCATATTTTGAAATGGATCCACATTTATAGCATATAATTTATGTTAATGTGTCTATGATTTTAATGTACAAAACTTTTTGTTAAAGCTTCCTAATCAAATGCTTACAGCAGGAGCATGCTACTTCAACTGAAGTTTCCCAAGAAATACCCAAACTCTTTTGAAACTAACTGTGTCTGAAAATAGTACCATAATTAATGTCAAAAATATAGTGAGTAATGTTGAGGAAAAAATTTGCACAAAGAGCAAAAATTGGCAATAAGAGCCATTTTGCTGGTATCGCAAAAAGTTGTAATAAATCATTCTGAACTGGCAGTGTTTGCTCATTTTCCCCATCAGTAACAAACAATTTCCAACTGCAAAACCTCTCCCAACGAATTACACCTGAGTGCTCATTAGTGTGGTAAGGTCTCCAAAGGAAAATCAGACAAGCCGACTTTCTGCACTGTGAATCAGAGGACCTGAGGGGAAGAAGATGAACGAGGCACTTTCAGTCTTGGTCTTATTAAACAAAAGACATAAAACAAGACTAGAAAGAGGACAGCAGAAACTTTTATAACCACAGGTTGGAGTATAATATGAATAATTACACTCTTGGAAAAAAACAAAAAGAACCCAAAACCAAAATAATAATATATTTAATTGGTCAGAAATACTTTACAGAAGAAAACAGAGAAATCAAAGTCACAGATTTAATAAATGACTTAAAGAACTTTGTGCTGATTATACTTTTTTATGTTCTGAATGTATTGATCTCATGGAAAAGGTAGAGAGAAATTTTATCTTTTAGTTAGACAATAGGACTCTAAAGCAGTTAACACATTATAGAGGAAATACATTTCCTTCCTTGTTGCAGATATATACAATTTCTCTACATAAATATATACCTGATGAAACCTTAAGAAAACCGCTTTTATTGTGTTAAATAAATATCTCATTATAAGGGGAAAATATACTACCTATAGAATTGTGTAAGCATTTAAAAAATTACAGATTTTATGCAGTTAGATTGTAATTTTATTCACTTGTATTTAAACATAACCAATCACACAAAATTCAAACTGAATACACATGTAAACTTATGACTAGTTCTAGCACTCATACAATTATACATTTTTATATGTATATGAGTGTGAAACTATGCCTATTTATTAGAAAAGTGATTTGAATCTACAATCAAAAGGAAAATGTTATAAATCCAGAGGCATTTGTAGGAGATAAGTGAAAACGTGAATATTATCTCTCCCACCATGCTCTCTCTCTCTCTCTGACAATGCATTTTACTACATAATTAAGGTTGATCTGTATCTATTTTGTCAAAGCTGGGTTCAAATTCAAAACATCCCCATCTTTTGTTACAGCCAATTGCTGTTGAATTTAAGACTCAGACTGTAAGTATGAAATGATCTGATTTCAATATTTTGTTGTTGCTGGTTTTTTTTTTGAGACAGGGTCTAGCTATATAGCTTTGGCTGTCCTGGTACTTACTGTATAGACCAGGCTAGATGGACACTCACAGGGACTTTTCTGCCTCTACCTTGGATGCAGGCGTTAAAGGCATGTAACACCAAGCCGGGATTTTAAGAATTTTCTATAATAGCCAACAATAATGCTATTTTCCCACATATAGTACTTTTGCTGCTTCAGTGTCCCCCAAGATAACACAAAAGTATTAAAATTGGGTCATCTGGCCTTTTTTCATAGTTTCCTTTCAATTCAAAATCCCACATTTCTTAGGCTATCATCATCTAAAATTTTTCATTGGTCTCAACACACTACAAGCTTGAAGCAGACTTGTTGGTAGTTTGGGTTTTTTTTTCTGTTGTTTCAGAAACTTAGCTTTGTCTCTCTACCTACAGTAACCACTCAGTTTCGGATTGTAGTTCCACTTTCCAGGGATGTACATGGAATGCTGGCCTGTCACATACTGTGTTACTTTTCAAGACTGACTCCTGGGGTCCTTGCTGTACTTCTCTATGGGGAATTCTTCAGCATGAAGATGAGAGACACGGTGACAGAGGTTGCCACTACAAACCATTTGCATCTAACAGGAAAGCTTATCTCAGTATTCTTAAACCATGTGTGGTTGCTCATAACTTTAATTCTAGGGCGTGGAAGGCTGAAGCAGGAACATTGGTATGACCTTATAAGCAGACTGGGCTAATTGAGACCTTGTCTCAAACAAAACGTGATTTTTAAATATATCTACACAAAAATTTGTCTTTTCAAAGATAATAGAGATAAGAATCATATATATATATGTACATATATATTCCTCTCCCTGTCCATTAAAAATATTTTATGTTTTATTGATTTGGTGATCTCAGATACCTCTTTAAATCACACAGTATGTATTGTTTGATTATTGACTTATTTTACCTCAATATTCAGTATTTATTTTCTACTTTTTTAACTTAATGTAAATTAGATTTATTCTCTCACTATATCCCTGAAAGAATAATTATTCAAATCAGCTATAGGATGGAAAAATACAGCTTCAGAAATTTTTAAATACAT